CCCCCCCCCCCCCCCCCCCCCCCCCCCCCGGTTCCTCTGCTTCTCTGTGGTTTGCGTCTATCAGATGCCTCCCCGGGGCGTCCGTCATGTTTGGAGTTCAGTCATTATCATTATAAAATTACTGTCTCTCTCTCTGTTTGGCTGCGATTTTATGAGACCACCAAACATCAAAAAAAAGAATGTCAGTAAAATGTTGAAAAAAAGAGTTAAACTGATGAATTCTTTCTTCTCTGAGAAAAATGTCCCAAAGGAAGTTTGTACCCTTGAATTATCTTTCTCTCTCTTTCGCTTGGTCTGCACTTCACTCTGTCTTCTGTGTTTGCGAAGATTGTTTAACTTGTTGAAACAGCTGAGGCCACTCGTTTAAACATCATCAAGTGAGCGCGCACACACACACACACACACACACACACACACACACACACACACACACACACTGAGCAATTTATTGTTGGGTGTACATAGGTCTGGGACTGTACATGTAGCTCTGCTTGAGTCTATCATTAAAAAAAAACCAAGGAGTGTCTGTTAACTATTATCACTAGCCAATCTGAACAAATGCCTCTTTTTACTTTATAATTTCCCAAATAAACTATACGCATAAGTTAGCCCCTGAATATGAGAGATACTGCCATGGGCACAGCACATGGAGTACAACAACATGTTTAAAAAGATCTTTAGAGAACATTCATGCATACTGAGGTAACTTAGCAGGAACACATTATGACGTTGACTAGCCTGTCTACAATATATGTGCCACATGTGACCTTAAAAAGCCCCTAAAGCTTGTCACCTAATGTGTATACTATACAAATGTGACTGTACTAAGGACTACATGATGTGAAAAAGGGGAACACTTGGCCCTCTGGAAGGCAAGCATAGTCATTGTTTACCTCGTCCTTACCCCCGTTACCTCCAAACCTAGGCCTCATTCACTCGTGCACACGCATCAAACCCAATCTTAGCTTGCACAAAACGCATTAGGCCTAAGTGGACCAGAGTTTGTTATGTTCTTTCAGTGGAAAACTGAAAATACAGAAAGGGGGAAAACAGGGGCTGAGAGGACATAGGGTCCAACAGGAATTTGTGATATTATGACAGGAGGGGGAAGGCCAGCAAAGATACGATTACATATTTGGTCAACGAAATTATTATTATCATTCCTGGAAATGTCTCAGAAGTGTAAATATTACAAATAAGTTAAATATGTGTGGCCACCAGGATCTGAAGTGGGTCAGAGGATACACAGTCACATCGAGGTTGGGTAGCATTTTAAAAAAAAGGTTTGGGCTCCTAAAGGTAATATTTGTCTTTGCATATCTTGGATATGACAGCATTCAATCTCATTAAATGATCTGTCAGTGCGAAAACTGACAATGTCAATGTTTGAAAGTCTTATCTCCATGTTATTGTCAAAAAGAAAAAGAGACCAACAAAAAAGAAAAAAGAAACGAAAAAGGTAAGAAGATATGACATCCGCCTGTTTGAAAAGAGTCTTTTGAATAGGACTCAAAAGTGAGTTGAGGTGTGGTGACTGCTTGCTGAATCAAGCCAAGCTTCTTTGGAAAGGTTATTGCCATCCCCTGAGGTTCTTTACAATGTTCTCTTTGAAGAGCTCGTGTTTAGTTTAAGAAGTCCTTTATTAACCCCGGCATCAACAAATACTGTTTTATGGGAAGAGGATGAGGATGCAGTGAAGTCAACAGAGCTCTGAGGTCAAGACAAAAAGCTCCGCTAACAGCTTGACTGAGTCAACAATACAAACATTTGCAAATACAGTGAGTGGGCCGCCGTGTCTACACGACCTGATGGCAAACACAAACTCAACATCTGCATGAGAGGTAAATGTCCGTCAGGCAAAAAGCTTATTTCTCCAGTTTTTTGGAGGAATTTGAGATTTACTTCAAAGAAATATGCTTCTTATACAACTATTGGATTCATGTCATGATCCCCAAAGCATTAACTGTATATCAAGCTGGTTTGTGAGGAAGATACTTTTTTCTGATATGATCACATTGTCCAAATGCAATTATTTTTGCACAACAGCAGCAATATCTTACAGTCACAAGGGAAATTTAGCTAATTTGCTTAGGAAATCAAGCACATGTTGCTGTATAGTTTGTGTCAAAACCTGATTAATCTACATAGCCAAACACTTTTTTTAAGAAGTACAATTAGCAAAAATGCCCAATGTAAATAACCTAGCTTTCCTTTATTGTTACATCACATTTCATCTACAACACCTACTGAAGCTTTTGCGGATTAATAAAGTTGTATTGTTTTCTATTGTATTGTATTTCTGTGCAAAACTGAACTTTCCATTATTTAGACCAAAGTAGATGTGGTTGTCAGGATCAAATTGTGTTATACATATAGTGATGGCACTGAGGTCAATGTGCGCTTGAACGGGCACACAGAAAGAAACACACATACACACAAATATAAACACACAAACATCAGCTGAGTTTTTGAAGAATCCGCAAGTTTACACAACAGGTCTGATTGCTGCCAGGTACACAAAATAGTCCAATTATGGCAACACTTCTGTCAGAGTGTGAAACTGCCTGCTACAAAGAGTTATGGAGCTGCTGTACCTTTCATGTGGTGCCACGTCAACATTCAACAAGATATAATTTCACAGGAATGAGATGTGTGTATGCTTTTTATGAGAATAAAAGAAAACATTCTCATAAATTCTGGCAGGGCGAGATTCTGTCCTGGCTTGTAAGCCTGGAAGAGGAAAAAAAGGGAGAGAAAAGACAGCCAGGCCTCTGACTTGGCACCCGGACAGGGTTAGAAGGATCTTTTACATGCATAAATCACTCTCTCTTAATTCATCCCTTTATCCTGTGGGACAACGTGCAGGCAGGCCCTTTGCTAACAATATTGTTGATGCATACAGGAGGTAAGAGAGTGGAATTACTATTACTGTAGATGTAAGCAGCGTAAATACATGGTGCGAGTCGTGTATTACAACCAGTGCAGAGTGGTTGTAAATGTATATTCTTTTAATTATTTTTGTACAATGAAAAATAATTATAAAGGGTCATGATGTTCGTTTGAAGTATTCAACAGTAAAAGGTACTTGTTATTATGTCTTTGAAACGAGATTTTGCGTTTGGGCTCATTCTAGAGCTTGGCACAAGAGGCGAAGCATGTGCAAATCTGTTATGATGTGGATAACGATGAAAAGTTGATGGCTGTTTGTCTGCAGTCCATACACATACCAGAGTATCAATCTTGTGTACAGTGCTTGTATCAACATGCACACCGTTTCAACCACAAATTTTTGTTTTGGATATTTCATATAAAATGAAATACAATATCCAAAACATGTTTACAAAAACACTGCCTGTCACACACACACAACTTTTTTGTTAACTACAAAACATCCTAAGGTATCATGACTTCATCAAAACAATCCATACTGACCGCTCCATCAGGCCTCTGGTTCTGAGTCAGGACGGAGTTAGCAGGCTGACTCTGGGACAGTTTCTGGGGCTGCAGGGCTGAAAGTTTGTCCTTTAAAACCTGGTTCTCCTTTCTCATCTGTTCCAGCTCCTCCAGCCGAACCCTGTCTTCCCGCTCCTTCTGCTCACGCAGACTCTCAATTACTCGCTCCTGAAATAGTAAAAGGACAAGAGAAAATAATGTTTGATGAGTGGTGTGAGTAGTATTATAGTAAAGAGCCTAGATCGCTATCATCTGCATAAAAGCTTCTTCACATTTTTAAAATGTGTTTTGCTTCCAGCATGCAAAAGATTGTCAGCCCTTTGTGATTTCAGTTCTTTCCTATCAATATCGAATAACTTTAGCCAGGGTCTGGCTGTTTAGGCCCGCCAGCATGCCTCGCAAAGTGAGGCTAAAGACAAACTCATAAATGCCCATCATAAATAATGCTTCCATAAATAATACTGCCATGAATAATAGCATGGACATGAGAAGATCAGAGCCAAGTTAGAACAGAGAGATGGAGGAAGCAGGAGAAGGGTTGAGGGACAAAGACAGATGCATTTAGAATGGATTGGACAGTACTGCAGATCACTTCCTAGTGACTCTGCATTGCCTGCTGATAAGCCAAGTTGGAATGTTTGCATCATAATTTTCTCTATTCTCTAATCATATCAGACAGTGGCTTGACACCAGGTCCACACCATGGGTGGCGGAGCATGCAAGGTGTGTGTAGTAGGTGTGTGTTAAGGTGTATGTGTGTGTGTGTGTGTGTGTTTGTTTAGGTGTGGACTGAAGTGATTATCAAGGTGTTTACTCGGGTGTTTATTTAGGCACAGAGCACAGCTCAGCAATGAGGCTTTACGATGTGGCATCGCTGCATGATTGGCAGCTTTAAAACCTTGGGTAATTGAACAAATACACCCACTAACTAGACCTGGCACAGTAACGCACTGCACAGTGGGCTTTGGAGGAGAGGGTGAGAAAGAGAGAGATCATAAAGGGAGAGAGACCACATGGCTAATAGGTCCTGGGTATTTTCCTGATGTTATGAAATATCTCTAGGATGTTTGGGGTTTTGCGAAAGGGACCAGGATGTGATAATAAAACCTGCCTCTATGAGACTTGAGTGTGGAGCACACGTAAACACAACAAAAATACACACACATTTCATCACAGACAGGCACACACACACACACACGCGCGTATACAAACACCAGGGCTCGGCTCGGGCACAATGCCCCAGCCAGTTAATTAGAACCACAGCACTGTGGCTAGCAACTGGCTCCAAGAGCAGGTTTGTGACAGGGAGTGTGATTAGCAACACACACACTCGCTCTTGTAAACACATTACACCCACCCTGTGTTGACCACAAAGTCTGAAAAGCTCGCCATCGTTCTCCTCATCTTAGCTGAGTTATATGTAGGCTGCATCAGAAGTGGTTTCTTGGTAAACAGACGGGCCAAGGCAGAAAAGAGATTTACAGTGTATTGTTGCCATTATATTATTCATTTCAAAGTCTGTCAGCAACAAAAGCAAATGTAGGTGATAAAAGATCATTTTAAGTGAAAACATCTATGTAGTGAATGAAAAACACATAAGTTAACATCTAGTCTATTAATATATTAATTTTAGTGAGCAAAAAGCAAACGATTATTTTTCTTGTAGAGTCAATAAATCCAGTGTAGTTCAAGTAAAATAAAATTAAATACCATTTGAGTAAATAATTGCAGCCTATAGGGGAGACACACACAGACAGACACACTCCACGCTCCACACATATCTGTCATGAACTCAAGCACCCCTGTGTCTGACTCCACTTCACCTGCTTTCACATGATCAGTGTCAAAGCACTTAACATTGTGTAAAGGACATATATTTCTTATTGAGGATGCTTTGTTAGCTGACTCAGCACAAATGTGATACCTCCCATTCAGAACCAAACTTTGATCTAGTTTTAATACCACCTTTTTAAAATGTCAGTAAGGAAGCATAGCGCTAGGTCAGGCAGAGAACTGAAGTCAGGCTTGTATTAGCTGATTGGCATCAGCTGTTTGCAATATGCTTCACAAGGACTGGCTCATTCACAGCTGCTAACAACCAATCATATTCTCCAGTCAGGAGAGACTCGAATTTTGTAATGGAAGCTCCTGTAGAGTGTTTTCTACTGACCTTGTCCCTTCAGTCCCTAAGACAAGTATGCACTTGCCAGCTCAGAGCACAAGTAACACACACTAACATAGCAAACATAAACATGTAGCTATTAACATAAAAACTGTGGCAGCCACTGGAAAAACAAGAAGTACAGCTGGACATCCACATCTGTCTGAGGAACTCTATAAACTCTTAAGCAGCAGCCAGTGCCAACAAAATGTAAACCAGCATCCATCTTTTTGCCTGCAGTACAAACACGTAAATGGGAACCATTTGAGCCTGCAGCGCCAAAGAAATCCTTTTTTAATACTGTAGTACCAACAAATGTGTTCAACTTCAAACATGCAACAGACCTAAACAAGATCAAGTCCCCCTGAAATAAAGCCAGTCAGTTCAAGGTAGACTTTATTTACTTCCAGACTAGGATTTGACATTGAAATCACTGGCACCGATAACCACGAGTGCAAATTCATAAACAAATTGCTAAAGGCTTGTGTTAGAATGAAAAACATCATTCTCAAAAGTAACTCCTCTACCAGGGAATATGGCAAATTCAGACTTTATTGGGTAAATGTACCTGTGCACTGAAATGTACTGCATTTTACGAAAGACAAAAAAACACAGTGGCCAACAAGACCATTCATCTTTTAATGTTAGTAGTGGCATGCTAGCTAAATGGTGTTGAGGTGAAGCTTTATGGAGGCCAGCTGCTCTATCATGTTGCCAGAAAACAACAAATGCTCACCCGTCCACCCATGTGGAGTTAGTCTGCTTAGTTCAACTTGATGCATATGTTACTGTGCTCATTATACTATTTGCTGAGGCTTTGTAGGCCAGTAAATCCAGTCTAAAATCAATGATATTGATATTTTACAAGCATTGGACCGGCACTGCAAAGTCCTTTGAGACTTAAAAGTACAATAATAGTGGTCTCTTTCATTAAGTTCCCTAAAGTTCATTAAGTCCTTAAGTTTATTCAGTTACTTTTTTTCCCTCTATATATATGAATGGCTGTGTTATCTGGAACTGAATTTCCATCCCAGTCTGATCCTTTGTAACTGGGTTCCTCTTGCCAGCTCTGTTCTTTGACTTCTTCTTCCAAATGCCTTGCAGAAGTTACTCGTTTTTTACTCTGCCTCTATCCTTACATTCCTTGACCCCTTCCTCCCTTAATTCTGAGGCCACCTCTTCCATCAGTGCTGTGCCTCTTCTGCCTGCCATTCCACTTTTCCATCCCTCCATTCCTCCCCTTTTCAAAACTTCTATCCCCCTCTTATTCCATGGATCATTCCCTCCCTATTTTCAGCGTAGTTACAGACAGGGAGTAATTCTCCGTCTACGTTCACCTTAGACCCCCCTTCTCCTTCGCGCCCTTACAGTTTTCGTAGAGGACCTCATCTAGTGTGGTCCAACATCTATAAATCAGGAGGCTGTGTTAGTAAATTACGGCATTGACTCATAGGAAAGCATGCGACTTAATTAAGCTGTACGCTAACTTCCTGAAAGACAAGTGTGCCTCAGTGGGTAAAAATTCCCAGACCAGTTGGTAGTCAAATGGTGTCATTTCAGAAATTTTTATTCAGTCTATATAGAATAGTCTGTTGTTATGTCTATATCTGATGAACAAGTTTTAGTTTCCTTCATTAATAGTGTGCATAATTCTTCACACCATCGCTCCAGCAACTGTTCTACCAGAGCAACCTTGACCCTCACCTCGAGTCTCTTTTCTCAGCAGGTTCTGTCAGATTTTCTTGACCTCTAACCTTTTCAATAAGGCCATCCTCCTCCTCCTCCTCCTCCTCCCTTCATCCCTCCCTCTGTCCTGTACCTTTTCTGATAGAGCTTCCTCCAGTGTGGCCAGCGCTGTGTCTGTGTTGCTGGAGTCAGTCTGAAGGCCCTGGACCCTTTCCCTCAACCCAACCAGTTGTTTGTCCTTATCCTTTAACTGCTCCAACAGGTTCTCAATCTGGAGAGAGATGGACAGAGACAGAGAAAAGGAGGAGCTGAGGTTAGTAGCAGGCTGATGTGAAACAAGCATTATGGGCAGAAACATTTAGACCAAACCTGAAAAGTTAAGTAGTATTGGTGCAAAGTATACACAACTGGACTATCATGACTGGAGACCTTGCGGTGCCAAAGTACCACAAAAAGTAATTATCCCATTGACCGCCGATTCATCGAGAAGATGAATCTAGACAGTGAATAGTGTGCTCAGCCTCTGGCTGCGTTCTCCAATTTCCTGCTGTAATGTCTTCCATTCGTGCCCTGCATCTTAAAGATGAGCAGCAATGAAATTCTCCCTTCTACGGCTTGGGTCAAGACAATTATGGTTGGATCCATAACGAGAGAAGCAGTTAAACTCTGTGGAGAGGTGTAAACAACACAGCCATTGGATGGTGTGACTAAATCAGCTTCAGTGCTAGTTTAGTAGCGTTATACTAAGAGTTCATTAAGCCCATTGGCTTATGGGACTGTGTCTCTGCATCTGCCCCTCTGCGGCTAACCTCATGTCATTAAAGTGGTGGTGCAATAGCCAGTTGCTGTGTTCAAAAGCCTTTATCTGATGAACATCCGCAAAACAGAACAGAAACACACAAAGACACATACACAGCCACACACACACAGGCGCACACACAAACACAAAATGCTCCGAGCAGTACCAACCAAAACACTAGCAGATGCAGCTGGGGTAGGGCACAGTGCGATGCAATGAGACTCCAGAGGTCTACAAATTAGTTACAAAGGGAAAGCATATGTGATGACAGGACATGGCGACTTATAATTTCCAAAAGCACACCACTCTACATTCCATTGAATCTGAATTAATGTCATCTTGATTTAAAAAAGCGTAGTTCAATTTGAAAAGTTGATGGACTCCCTGAGATCCCCTGAGACCTATACACTGGCATAGAGCATATATTTCCCTGTCTCCAACTCAGTCTTCTTTGGTGTTTTTTCTACAGACAGACAAAGCACCATTCACTCACTGCTGCAAAGCATTAATTCCACATTTGACCCAAGTGGTCCTTTCTCAGCTCAGGGCTTGAATCGTATAAAGGAAAGGCGCATGCAATGAAAGGAATTCATTATTTAATGAACATGAGAATGCAATAAAAGAAAGAAAAGAAAAGCACTTCAGGCCATCAAGAGACCACAATTTAACTGAGATGGTGAGAGGCTAGAAAATCTCCAGTGGGGGGGGGGGGGGGGTAAGCTGCATTCCAGCCATGGGTACAAAGATAGATCATGTCCAAATCTCCACAGCTATTTTACAAATTAATCCAATTAGACTTCAGACTTTGGTGTTCTCTGTTCCCCGGAGGGCAAGCGCAAAGATTTTAAGTAGCCATCTTGGTTTTGGCAATGGAGGGAAAGTGGCAGGAGGGGAAGGGAAAAAGCAGTCAGGACCCTTCGGCAGATCTTGATAGGTTAATGACAGTCATTATTACAGCCAAGCTGAAAGCTCTGGTAGGTCAGTCCACAAGCGATAGGGACATCAAACCCTTCAGGGAATGATGGGAAAGCTTCACACTACCGAAGTCAGATACAATTCCCAGCAATTCATGATTGCCATGGGTGTGTTAGATGGGATTTTAGGGTTGATAATGTGGGACAGAGAAAGAGGCGAGCTGATTATTCTCTTATGTTTCTCTCAGTGACAGAGCTGAAGAGGTACTTTTCACTTACTTTCCAAGGGACGTAGCCACTTCAGTGGCAAAGCTAGACACATTATAGCATTCTCGGTCTTCAGATCATGAAGCGCCGATGACTCCTCACAGATTAAACAAGACTGACGCTCCACACGCATTAAACACAAGATGAAGTACAAACAAACCAAACATGGCTTTGGCCTCTAGTTGCAGCAGCTCAGTAGCTTTGACATACCTTGTTAAAATAAACAGTAAAATAGTAAATACCCAGCGAAACATTTACATTTGCACTCATGCACACCCTAGCTCCCTATCCCTATGGGCACCACAGAGCCCTACTTTAGGTCAAATTGAGCATGTTGCCCCTGGTCTTAGATAAATGATTACATTCTTTGCCAGGCTTCAGTTTGCTTTGGCCTGGTCGCACAAAATAACAACCACTCGATGAAATATTTAGCCACGTCGCTCTGCCTTCTGTGAAATTGTGCAGAAAAACGTTTAACAGAAGTTAAACGTTGTACTGAGGAGTCATGTGAGTCATGGCTATGGGAAAGACGGCAAGGAATTCTGTCAGAATTTGCAAAGTCAAAACATACTCTCCAAAGAGAAATGCCTTTCGTTGACAGGCGAGGTGCAGGGCAGCCGTATGCCTTTCTGTGAGAGAGGGGGGGCCAGTAGCTTGATTGTTATGATGAGAGCAGCAGCCATTCATTTTATCTCTCAGTGTATGTGGCTACCTCAAACTATACACCCGCATCTCTTTCTCTCACACACACACATACACACAGGCTTTTATCATTAAACCACTGCGCATATGTCATCCCACTCTCCAACCACACACACCTCCCGCTGAAGCAGACCACCTACGATAGGCCGCTATCATGACTCTGTGGGCCAGGCACTGCGGTGTGGATGGTCTGTCTCAGTGAGTGTGTATCCTCCTGAGAAACCATGACGTCTGTCTCAGTCGTCTCCCACACACATGGCTCCTCACTGTTTACAGCCATGCTGTTTTGACTCTGATAACTTTATCAACAAGCTGATAGGATGGGACCAGGTTCCCCTTAAATGTGTTAATGCGTGGTTACCTTTTACTGAACTTTTGCAAAATAGTAGTTGATGAATCGACTAATTATTGACACAATTATGTAAAAAAAAAAAAACTAGAATTACCGTCTCTTGGTTGTATGCCTCTGTCAACCAGTCAAGTTGCAGTTTACGTCCATGTCTCTCCAAAATGTCATCACATTTGTGTGAAATTGTCTCAATTAGCATATGAATCGAGTTATGGCCAAAAATGTTTTTAGTCAGGTCACAATGACCTTTGACCAACAAATTATATTCAGTTCATCCTTGAGTCCAAGTGGACATTTGTGCCAAATTTGAAGAAATTCCCTCCAGGCATTCCTCAGATAACGCATTCAAGAGAATGGTACGGACGGACAACCCGAAAATATAATGCATCCGGCCACGGCTATCCGTTGTGGAGGCATTAGCTATTATAAACTTGGGGATGCTGGCTACACTCATATTGTTATTGTCATATAAACTACTTGGTAAAACTAGTGGGTTGGAAGTGGGCTGTGATATTGTCATCAGTGAAACAAAACATAATGAAATATGGCATTTATTCATTCTCAAATGAGTGACAAATATTTGTGTGAGAGGAGGAATTTGAAGTATCAAACAATAGCCCACAAGCATTGATGTAAATTTAACACGATGATGAATGTCAACAAAACCATTTTGAGTCTGTTTAATGGGCTTTGATATCCATTGGGAACCTTGGTGTTGCATTCCTGTTGCAGTCTGTAGAGTACGATCATGATTAGGACAAGCTGAGTTCTAATGGAATGGGAGAGAAGTTAGTGAAACAGTATCAGGCCTCGTGTTTCTGGCAAAAATCGTGATCTAAAAGCAGCTTCTTCCGCAGCAGAACCACAAACCCGGTCGACCCGTCTGTCTTCCATCCAAACTAAGAAGTAGAACTCGGTGGCCTCCAGAGGAATCATTTCAGCAGAACACAAAGGAGACCAGCGTGGAGCGTGACCACCATAAAAATACAATCGTTTGTATTTTTAAAACTCTTTTGGACCAATAAAAATACCAAACAATAATTGGTCGCCCTTTCCGAATGGCAACTCATTTCTCTGCGCTTGTCATCGCCTCTGAAAATATGACAGAGACAGTTGTAAAACCCAAAGATCCTGGCACTGATATGGTACGCATGTGCATGCATGTACACACACACAGCCACACACAAATACACAGAGGGACAATAACCACAAACTGAACAATATGGAGTAACACATTATGTACTTCCCCAGAGAAATCTAGGTCACAGTCAGACAGAAACACCAAGAAAGACTACATACTGGAAATGTCATTCTGCTATTTCAAGTACTCCACAATCACATAATACAATCCAAGTAAAGCATGTACATGTCAAACTGTGTGTGGTTATATGTGTGTGAGTGAATTACAGTATACTCAAACATGTGCACCTGCATACTGTTCCCATCTCCTGCCTTCAGAGCTTGTTGATTCCCAGATTAATAAAGGACTTCCTACTGCTCCTGAGCACTCATATGTGGTTCTTCAAAGAGAAACACAGTTTGGTCTTGTAGTTCAGGGAAGACAGTGACCTTTGCAGAGTGAGGAGGGTGTGCACTTCATTTAACCCCTGTCCCACCACCAACTCCTCTCTGCCTGTGAAGAAGAGCAGCACAGGCCACACTGGAAGACTGAGGAAACGCTGATACTGTGTAAGCTGGCGCCCCCATGTGGCAAATTTCTGCAGCAGGCCCATTTATCTACTTGTGACAACTCCAGAGTTCATTTAAAATGAAAAATGTTGTCTTTAGAGAGCAAGGTAAAACAGAGGAGACACTGTCCTCTCTCATCCCAGGATTGAGGAAGACAATCAAACCTTCTACACACTACCCCATTATAAATGTTCTTGAATGAGAATAGCAGCTTGTCAAGAAACATAAATGGACTTAGCTACTGGAAGAGAACTGCCAGCATTTACTCATAGCTCTGAAGTCCCAACCAGATCTCTATAGACCATTGAGCCGACTGACTGGGAATGTACAAAAGGGGACAACGTGACACAGAGACCCCTAAAGCAGAAAATGACACCTCTCCCCTTTTCCCCTCGATTGACCTTCCTGATGTCATGCTGCTTTGCTCGAGGAGTCATTACTCATCTGTTATCAACCAGAACGACGGAGCAAAATGACTTCATAAGACGAGTTGTGCCCGAGAGAGGGAGGAAGAGAAGGGAGGGTCAAGAAGCACCATGCTCAGGTTCTGA